CATCGTTTCTTAACATGATCTTCTGAAGTTAATTAAAATTGTATACAAAATCTCAAATCTTACATGTTCATTATAAACATAATTTCAAGTGTTTTATTAATAATTAACATTAAAAATAAAAATGTGTTTAACATCATTCCTTTCAATGATATATTGTTTCATATTAATAACAGCTAAATAATAAACTAAACCTAATGAGAAACAAAAAACTTTTTGTTCATTCATTTCCTTATAATTTAATAAGTTTTCAAAAGAAAATAAATATTTCAGCCAGTTCATGAAAAAATATTTTAGAAATCATATTAAATTCCTCTAAATTAGATTAACACTTGAAAAATGACAAATAGTAAGTAATTTTTGTTAAAAAAAAAGCTCACTGTGAAAACTTAATTAAAAACAAATATTTAGTGATAAATACAACAAATAGTTTTGCAAGAAGAATTTGTGGAAATTCTTTTAGAATTTTGCAATTGAAATATAAAAATTCATAAAACACGATTTGACCAAAACAATAAGAAAATGTACTCGTGTAGAAACTCACTACGATTGTCTGAAAAAACTACTCTGTATCAATCTCCAACTTGCAACTCTATTGTATCAGTTTGAAATATGAACTATTTCTTGACTCATCTCCAGACTGAAACAAGAACTAGAAATGCTCTAATACTTTCTAAATAAATATGAGTATGAGTGAAACTGCTTATTCACTGATGGAATTAATATTTGAAATTGTTTCCTCGAAATAAATATTAAGATTCAGTCATAAAATTTCATGTTTGAAATTTGTTATCTAATAAGCAAATTTATAAGATTATAAAGTTTTTTTTTTAAGCACAAGATACTTTTTAACACTAAGTACAAAACATCAGTTTCACTAAAATTTAAGAGATTAGTTTAAGATGTAAAATGATTTCGAGCCTAGGTTGAATACCGACGTCAATAATCTAAAATGAACTTGTCGTGAATGACCCTTTGAGAAAACCCTGCTTTTCACATAATTCATGGATACCATGGGTATAGCAAAGAAAAGTCTCTTTCAGTAAGACAGAAAATTAAGCACTTTTAACACCCAATGAAAAATAAGGCCCTTCAAGGATTCTTTAAAACTAAAAATAAGCACTTCTTTAAAAATGCTTCACACCTGAAACATAAGATAATTTTTACATAGGCTTAGTTTTATTAAAGAACAAAAGTGAAAAANACTCAAACTTGCAATTCAAAATTTTAATAATTTTTTATTTTTTAAGAAAAAAAAATTCATTGTGTACAGAAGCTCAGGCGGGGCGCAGGTTGTCAACCCAATTTATGCTAAAGAAAACATCTCTAGGAGAACAGAAAAGTTTCCCAATAGTCTCCTTTTCCTGAAAATAGTTGCTTTTTCAGACTTTTTAGGCAAAAAAAGTTGCCACAGTCGCCTTACGCCAAAAATAGTAGCAAATAGTCGCATTTTAGTCACCTGTGGCAACCCTGTACCTAACTAAAATTCAGACAAGACGGCATCTAAGTACGAAATGATGCATCTGAAATTGAGGGAATGTAAATCACAAGATTCGATTTAAAAATCGTGAGAATACGAAAGTTTAATTTTAAAATCACGTGAATACAAATCAGAATTTTTTTTGAAATTGCATGAATACGGAAGAACATTTCAAATTCAAACCCTATCTTGTTTTCTCTGTAATTTTTTTAAATCAAGTTTGTTTTTGTTATTTAGAGAATAATATGAACAAGTAAGGGTATCTAATTATGTGATTATTACTTGTGTTATGAGTAAAGAATTTTAAATCAAAATCATTATTCATTAAATTCAAAAAAGAAAGTGGTTGTGCTCATACAAATCAATTAAGTTCATGAATATAATCTGAAAAAGCTGCAATTTCCTAACTTTCGTAAACAAAAGGAGAACAATGACCCCTGTGACAGAATTTTTTTTGAGCTTTCTGCAACAATTCTAACAAAAAATAAGCACTTTTCAAGCACTCAAAAAATATCATAAATAGGCAGGGTTGGAAAGTTTTTGACAATTGACGGTTTTATCTTGTTTTAACTGTCATGTCAACAAAAAAAACTTTGACATTGTTTTTGACAATTCTCAAAAATCTTGAAATTTTGAATAATGTAAAACGAAAGGCCTTTTCATACACTACGGACTGACAATACGCCGAAATAGATTGGGGTTGAATTAATTGTGAAAATGTTGAATAGAACAATGTGAACTGTGTCTTTTTTCAGAATTCAAAGGGAAAATCAACATACCGTATATTCCGGCGCATGATGCGCACCCGTAATTTCTAATAACTCTTTTTAAATTTTAAGATATACTCTTCGTATAACGCGAAAATTTGGATTGTACATGCGCAATACCTTGTCTTTCAAGATCGTAAATAAAAAGTTTTTCCCCCATCTTTTGCAAAAATAAAAGAACTGAATTTGACATGTATGTGAGGGTAGAGTTGAAAGAGTAATAATGTGATTTTGAGAAAAGAGATTGTTGTATTCAGCAGTGCAGGAGTGTGCAAGAATGTTGTTCCCCACATTCCAGAAGGTGGGAGGAATGCTGTCAATTGTGTATGTCTCAAAAGCATACCACAAATCAGGAGACAAAACGTAATTCCTCTTCTGCCAATCGCACCATTTGATGCCCTGCCTTTGATAAGAAACATTGTGAGCTTTAAGAATTCAGTGTAGTTTTTAGTAGTAGACATGGCTCCTATCAAATGAAGCAAACACAGCGCTGGATTTAAATGCAGAGTAATTCAATTTGCGAAAGAAAATGGAAATCGGGCAGCGGCGAGAAATTTTAGTATTGGGGAAAGCTCGGAGAGTGAATGGAAAAAAATAAAGAGAAAATAATGGATATGCCTAAGGATAAGTGTGCATTGCGTACAGGTCTAACAAAATGGCCGGTGTTAGAGGACAATAAAACTCGGTTTTGGAAAATCGGCAAAATGGCTTGATTGTAACAAAAAACTGTGTTCGCTTGTACGCTCTAAAATGGGCAAAAATTAATCCACACGAGAGTGAAAATTTCAAGGCTACTGTGAGTTGGTGTAGCCGATTTATAGCTCGAAAAAATTTAGTTCTACGTGAAAAAACCAAAGTATCACAAAAACTACCAAAAGACTTGGATAGCAAATTGTTATAGAACTGCGGGAAAAAAAGGAATATTTACTTTCGCAAATAGGAAATATGGATGAGACCCCAGCCATGTTTGACATGATCGGTAATAAAACAATTGATTTAAAGGGAGTCAAATCTGTCAACGTAACAACAACGGGACATGAGAAATCTCATTTCACCGTAGCCTTTTCTTGCTTAGCGGATGGAACGAAACTAAAACCAATGGTTATTTTTAAGAGAAAAACTTTTCCCAAATGTATATTTCCAAAAGGTATTTCTGTTCACGTCCACGAAAAAGGCTGGATGGACGAAAATGGCGTTAAATTGAGTGTAAAAAATGTCTAGCAAATCCGTCCTGGTTGCGTAAGAAAATCAGAAAGCCTTTTAGTGTGGGACACGTTTAGGTCCCACCTTACAGATAATACAAAAAAATTGTTGAAAGAATGTAACACCAATAAGGCAGTTATTCCGGGCGGATTGACACCATTACTTCAGCCATTGGACGTCTGCATAAACAAACTATTTAAAGTCAATTTTAAAAAAAACAGTGGAACACTTGGATGTTGGAGGTCGAGAAAACTTTACGAAAGGACATATGCGCCATGCAAGTTTGGAAACAGTGTGCGAATGGATATCTAAAGCATGGGATGAAATTAAGCCTGAGATGGTTAGAAACTCATTCAAAAAATGCAGCATTTCAAATAATCTGGACGAATCAGAAGATGACTGTTTATTTATGGATGAGGGTAACACAGATGATGAAGACGAAACAGATTGTGATGACGTGCCTGAAGAAATAACAGAAGACGAATATAATGAGCTATTTATGTAATAACGAAAATCCATAAAGTATATAGGTATATAGTATGGTATATAGTATGTTATTTCTTTAAAATAAAAGTATTTCTCTATATTTAAATTTTTTTAATCTATAATTTTTTATATTCGGCGTATACCGCACACCCGTAAATTCCTAAGTTACTTTTTGTATTAAAAGTGCGCATTATACGCCGGAATATACGGTAAATAGATTTTAATGAAAACATTACTTTTTAAATATTTATTGCTAAGTAATCAGGTAATATCATTCCGTAATGAAAGAATAGGATTGATTGAACATTAACATTTGCTTGTGAAAACAAAATTTGTATAATTGTTGAATATAAATTCTATTTTAGCTTACACTTTCTCCCAACCTTTTAAAATTCTAGCAAAAGTTAAATTACAATTTATTTATTTTTTTAACCCTTTGACATATCATTTCTTGATATAGAAATGATCTTAGATTGGCAAAAAACAACTCACAACGGAATGTTGACAGAGATGCCAACTGCCTGACACGCTAAAATAATTTTAAAAAATGGTAAATAACTACAAACTAAATTTTGCAAATATTTGACTATTTTTGCTTGCTTTTTAAAAGACATGACATAACTACTATAAAGTGGTGAATTATATAAGCCTACAAATTATTTAGAAAAAATGGTAGATAAAAATCTACTAAATTGAATTTATTAAACCAAGAATCACAATTGATAAACTAACTACCACTTCAAAATATTTATTTGCTGTCCAAAGCAAATTGTCATCTCTGTGTGTAAGACGTCTGAGACACGTCAATTGTTATTTTGACATAAGAAACAAATGACGTCTCCCAGACGTTTTCGTATGTTATGGGGTTAAGGAAAAGAAATTCATTGAGCTAGGATAAAAGATAATGGTGAAATGAAAAATAAATGGCTTTATTAAAAATTCAGTGGTTTATATCAGTGATTTTACTTGATAAGTGAAAAAAAGATATACAAAGTTAGCTGTTTTTGTTTTGTTTGAAATATTGTTTTTTTTTTAACAAAAATAAACAAATTATTGATTTAATATACTGACCATTATCATAGAAAGCAGCATTTTGGCGTCAGATAGCTATAAATTTCTGAAAATTCTGGTAAACACTAGACTGTGTTAATTAGCCAAAAAAATAATTTGGCACCCGTGTATTTGGCAACTAATGAAGAAAGTTCAATTTTAAAATTGTAAAAATTTAAAAAGTTTCAAGCAGTTTTTGTACTTTTTAAAAGAAACTGAAAATGATATGGGATTTTTCAAAAATTATTATTTTATATCATACGACAATATTAAATAACAAATGTTAATACCTCACAATGAACGCTCATATACCAAAATATGATTGCATAACAAAAGAAAACATGGGGAAAAAATAAAAAAGATACTTTCATGGGGGATGACATCCACAGGGGCAGTCTAGGTTCTTCTGAAAGCCTGTCTGATTTTGTGAAAATTTTGACATAATTTGCGAAAAATTAAAAATTATATTAAAAAATCAATACAAAAACATGGTAAAAATATAGATTTATCGTTTCTTAAGGGATACAAAAATAAAATTTTAAGAAAAAGTATTTTGTGAAACTACCGTTTTTCTTAAAGTTGAATTTGTGAAACTACCGTTTTACCTAAAATTGAATTTGTGAAGTTACCGCTAAACGGTAGTAAATTCGGCCTGGACAGACCCCTGACCCAATAATGCCTGTGTCATTCTTAATAAAAACCCTTATCATTTTGAGCTTTCTATCAAAAGTACAAAAATTACTAAGAAAATGGCTTGAAATTTTTAAGATATTCAAATTGGACTTCTTTTATTAGTTGCCAAATACGATAAACTATAAAATTAGAAAATAAAAGCAAAATTAAATTTCTCCAGTGCAGTATAAAAGAACTACTTTAATTACTCAATTCTTGCACAGTTTTCACTAAATTTTTCTCAAACTTTAAATCAATAATTTTGGAATTAATATTACATTTTTACAAAAATTATGAAATGAATATTTTTAAAACTATAACAAAAAAATATAGGACAAAAAAATTATTTGTTGCTACATTTTTTGGCATGGGGTATTTAAAACTACTTCATTCAGTATGCAATTTATTGTCGGTCTCTCAGACCTCTAAAAGCTTTAAATATTCTTTTATACTAAACAATTCTAAATTCATAAAATAATTTTCTAAGTATTTTTTGAGAAAGATAAAAAAAAAGTGTTGGAAAAGAAGAGTTTCCATTGTTTTTCCAACTTTTGTACATATATAAAGATAATGGTCGTATAAGGTGGTCCCCGCCAATGTAAACAAATACGTTATATGAGCCAATTATCACTTGAATTACTAATTGATTGCATGACTAAAAATTCGGATTTAATGTAGATTTTAATTAACGGTCAAAGTCAAAATTGAAAATAGATGTACTATGAGAAATCAAATCAATGAGAATTTTTAGTGCAAATGCATATTACTTAAATCTTTTTTTCTTCTTCTTCAAAATAACATTTTATTAAATTAAAAGAATCAGACACATACAGATTCCTCTTCCCTCTGATTTGGAATATAGGGATTTTAATTAAAATAAAAATAAGTTTTTTTTTTTTTTAGTAAAAATGCTAAGTTGTGAAAAAGATCTTCTAAATGATTCTAAACTCTATTGTTATTGAATAATAATCACATGATTAATCTAATCCGGGACATATCTCAGTTTTAAAATCTATTTATTTGAGAATATCATTAAATAAATCTATATTCATAATCTTAAAAGAATTTGAGAATAGTTTTAGATATTCCTATGAATACATTTCTTACGAAGGTAATTTGTTACAAATGGGCACTTCAAAAAAAAAAAACGTGACAGATGTCTGATTTGAAATTAAAATCAAATAGTTAATTAAGCCACCAGTCATCTTTCTGACTGCTTCATTAATAAATTTTTTCAAACCAAGTTTCTGACTAAAAAAACATTAATTTTAAAACACTCTATATTCTTAAAGTACAAAATATATATTATTATTATATGTTAATTTTAATCAAATAATGCAAATGAAATCATGATGATATAAATTAATGTTTGTATATAGTTTACTTATGAATAAGTGTTAAGAAAATGTTCTCTCCTATTTTATATAGTACAAAAAAAAAATAATCTTCAGAGCAGTTAGATTAATAGTGTGCAAACTAAATATGAATGATACTAGATTGCTTATCTTTTTAATGCAAATTGAAGTAAGATACATAAAAATTATTAAGATAATTTACTTATTGATGAAAAAAACTAAATTTTCTTGAGTCATAAGAAAGGCGGGAATAATTAATGAATGACAAATACAGTTAAAACTATTTTTACACTACACTAGGATGCGCTGCTAGCTCTTGACTGCTTTTACTTCCGGGATACTGTTTTTGGTGTGTATGGATGGTGTTTTCTACACTAGGAAACGCTGCAAGCTCGGTACCACCTAAATTTCCGGGTTACTGTTTCCATTGTATTTTAAAGCCATTTGGCATCATTGTGTTTTGAGATTCTTGCAAACAATGAACTTGATTACTTATTACTTGTGATTACAATGCTAACAAAAGCCGGCCAGGTGGCCGAGCGGTTAGCGTGTCTGACTGCGAAGCCAATGGCTACGGGTTCGAATCCCGCTCTGGGCATGGATGTTTCTCTCTGTGTTGTCCTCTGTTGTGTGTGATGTGTGAATGTGGCCCGCCCTATGAACGGGTTTGTGGCAGTGTGGCGTGGGTAATGTTACTCGCCTCCGTGACTTAGGTTCACAGGTGCCCACTGGGTAACGCTAAATGAGCAACACTTCCGGCATCTTCCGAGGTGAAGAATGAGAGTTCAAGTGCCTGCCGTTAAAAAAAATTAAAAAAAAACAATGCTAACAATACTTGTGTTTACTATGCTAAAAGTGTTAACACTAACGTAAGATGGTGCACAGCTTGCAACAAGAACAAACAGTAATAAACTTATGGAAAGAGGCCATATCAAGACTGCAAAAAAGCAAGTTATTCAAAATTTAGCAACTATGTCACCTGTTTTAACAANTGAATATGAATTTAATATAATATTTAATATGAATTAGATATTAAATATTATGAATAATATTTATGAATTAACATTTATTATATTGCACTGGCACTAATTTAAATATATTTTCCAGAAATCAATTATAATTTTTAAAAAAATATCCAGCAATTTTTTATTTTGCGGACCATTTGGCGCCCCTTTGTGAGCAGCGCCCGGGGCATGATGCCCCCCCTTGCCCACCCCTCGCTACGCTACTGTCGCAGAATAACATGTAGAAAGCAGCTGCAAGCTTTTTCACCGGAACTAGAGCAGGCATACAGCTCGAGATTGTTATTGTTTACATTTCTACTGAAAACACCATCCATTGAAACCATTTGGCTCACAATGCGATCATTGCGTTTTTATTTCCTGTATACCCGTATTTACTGCTTGATTTATTATTTTCTGTTTAAAAGAGGAATCATTATAGGAATCGTCATTTGAAGACCTTCATTTCAAGACTTAAGATTTGTCATTTAAAAAAAGAATCACTTCTTGTTAACAATATACCAACTTCAAAATTTAAACCTAAATAATAATTTGAAAAACGAACTTTATCTCGCTGCTTTAACAATATGCTAACACTAACACATAATGATGCACGTCAAAAACAAACAGTAATAAGCAACTGCTAAAAAGGGGCCTTAACAGAACTGCCAAAAAAGCGAGTTATTTCTAAATCTAGCAACCATGCCACCTTTTTTAACAATACATCTCTAAGTCAAGCATCACTGGCTGCGGTCAGTGTGCGGGTGAATGACCACTTGGATCAGTCTGCGTAGGGACCGAAGACGTGCCGTATGGGTCCTCCTTAAACTGTTCTACCGTAAAGTGCTCGACTTCGCGTGCAGGTCGTCTTGAATTTATTATGACAAGTTTNATGGCATGTCTTCGGATCATCCTCAGGGATGTTTTCCAGACCGTCGCCAATAGCCCATTGTGCAGCTCTAGTGCGACGTAAATGAACTACAACAGCTAAATAACTAAAACAAATTTTCATTTCAAACTCACCAGAATTACTTAATATTATTAATATCTTATAAAATACAGTAGATTTGACCTCAGGAATTATACTATTTATTTCTTTTATTAAAAACAAAATTATGTGTTTGAAAATATTGCCTCGGAGAAAAAACTGTAGAGCCCTTATGAAAAAATCGAGGTATAAATAA